TCTTACATCCATATGTATCCGCACAAATTGGGTTATGGTCTGAGACAGAGGAATCCATATTTGTCACGGTGTATCTGGGAAACAACTCTACCTGTTTTGAAGTTCCTGTTGCTTTATCAAGCTACTTTCTGATCAGTAAGCAGGCCTCGATCCCACGTTCCCATGCATACCAGATCCTCTTAAAACCCAAATCCTCTAATCCAGCATCCTCTAAAGCCTGCTGAAAAGCGTCCGTTTGCCGCTCCGGTCTAGTGGTGACTCTCTTTTTCTCATGCCCCCAGAAAATCTCGTTAAAATCGTCCACACAAAGCTAAGGTCTTTTCAACTGGTTAGCAAGGTTTTCCAGCGTCCTCTATGCAAGATTTTTTTTCGTTGTCTGTGGTTTTCCATAAAAATTGGTCACTCTCCACTCATTACCTCCATATTCGGAGACTTCCATATCAATGTGATATTTGGAGAAACTTAGCAGGTTAAGATCCATCTTGTCTTTCCACATCATCCCTAAGCCTTCGCTAATACCAATGGCATCTACTCCAAAAATAACTTTCATATTGCATTTTCTTTGGATCCTATCTAGGTCTTGTGTCTTTATTAGCATCTCACTAAGAAATACAATTTCGGGCCCTTCCTTCTTCACCATTGCGTGAAGAGCTTGAACTGTCCGTAGGTTCTTAAGCCCACGGTAGTTCCAAGCTAAGATTTTCATTGTTCTTGATAGGAGTGGAAACGAGTCTCCGTCATTTGATTATCATGTGGGTGACTGCCAACCTCCTCCACCCTATGTTTTTTCCTTTGAAATTCAACCTCTATCAGGTCTTCTTCAACATCTTCTTCGTGTCCCCTCTTTTTACCAATTTTTATGCCAGTACTGGTTCTACATAGTATAGGGCACCGCGTAAGCTTCTTTCATTTTGTTTTCAGCCCCTGCATGCCTTTGTTCTCCACGCAAACTTTTTTTACTCCTTTCCCTCATTCATCATGCGTTATATGGTGCAAATCCCCTTTATAAACTTGTGTTCTTTCCTTTTCCCTTTCTACGGTCCCCACTCCTATATTCAATATTTCTACTTCATGCAACTGTGGTGGGCCTTCATCTAGGTTGCCCCTCTAACATCACTTCTAGGCTTGTAATTCCATGCATCTTCTAGCTTTTTGCTATTTGAAATTTTCGATCCAAATGGGCCAATGTCATGGTCTTGACATTGATAAACCTTGTTATCCATTTCAATCACGTGATTTTGCATGGCTTGGCTTCCATCACTACATCTATTTCTTTAACCTGACAAACCGCCATTAGATAAGTTTTCAAACATGAATCCTGATCCTATAATTTCTTTTTGAATTTCAGAGATACCACCAATTATGGATCTTATCATCCTTGCCCCACGGCTTATGTCAGCGGAACCCTTACCCAGTGTACTTACCGCTCCTGCTCTAGATCGGTTCACGATCGGGAAAGATAGTCCTCTTCCTTTGGTTGGTTTCCTTTTCAATGGGGAAGCTTGCAGCCAGTCACCATACTGCGTATTTGTCTTACCATCCTTATCAGTTTTTGACTCCTCATCACACTCTATATCTAGATGACCAATTATACTACAATTGTAACAGAAGTTAGGCAGACGTTCCTGCCCCAGTCTACCCAGGATGTCTTATCCTTCTTTCCCCTTAATTATGACCGCCCTTCGCAATGGCTTACGGATATCAATGGTGACTCAAAATCTCATAAATCTTGAGTAGCCCTCTCCCTCTAGACCTGCATCTACTTCGTGTAAAACACTTATTTTTCCTCCCAAGCAAGCAACTATGTCTTGAGTTCTTATCCCTAAAGGTAGGCTGTAAGTCCGAATCTAGAAGGTGGCTTTATAAAAATTGTAATCTGTTGGGCATAAGTTCGTCTTATACTTCTCCATTAATAATAGGTTCTTATCAAACGACCACGGGGCCCCAGCTAACACCTTGTTTTTATTAGCTTCTAATGCGAACTTGAAGAGAAATATGCTATCTTCTAAAGCCAAGATCTCAACTTCTTTGGCAGTCCTCCAGATAACTTTTAGGGTGCTCATCATGGCCTCTTTGTTGAAAGATCTTATTGTTAGCAGTTTTCCTACCATCTATCTATTTTCATCATCACTTGCCCCCTCCAGAATGCTCTCCCCTGGCTGAATATATTCTAATTCTTCTTCCATAAAGGAGAGACGCTTCCATAGATCATCTAACTCGTCCGCCATTCACTGACTACTTCTCTACGTTTAAACTATAACCGCCTAAACACAACTTTTCAGAACAATTAAGAATGAAGTAAGAAAAAAATGAAAAAACTACCTAAAGATTCTATTGAGAACATAAAACCCTAGGAGGAAACTCTAGGAGGAAATAGATCATCAAACTCTTCCGCCATTCACTGACTGCTTCTCTACGTTTAAACTATAACCGCCTAAACACAACTTTTCAGAACAATTAAGAATGAAATAATAAAAAAAATGAAAAAACTACCTAAAGATTCTATTGAGAACATAAAACCCTAGGATGAAACTCTAGGACGAACCAAGACTTCTACTCCTCCCACCCGTGGAAACTTTTCCAATTGAATGGTTCTTTTTAAGTCAAATATCATTTTTCCATAATCATTTTGGAACCTATGTAAAAATGAGAAAAATGCATAATTTTTGAATATGTGAACTTATTAAATGATACATATCAATTGTCATTAAATAAAAATATTGTATTTAAACAGATTATTACCTATTCACTATTTGCTTAGCATGATATATTAATCAAACAAAAACTTTTATAATTTAAAAATAATAAAATAAATAAAATTTTATTGTTTTCTTTAAAGTTTTGGACATAATATTAAATAACTCTTAGTTCTAATTTATTTATGAGTTAACCATTTCAATTTACGTTTTACCTTAAGTAATTACTTCCAATCTTAATAGGACTATTACATTTAGAATCATATGGCATTATGATAATATAAATAAGTTTAAAAGTGAATCCAACAAAATTCTAGGACCATGTATATGAACATTCCAATTTAGATAAACTATGTGCTAAAGTGTGCTCCACTCCTCACATGCAAAAAGTTGCAGGCAATATGATCTTGGCGAATTCAACAATATCATGTGCTATTCCACCCTTTTTAAAGATCACCTTTAATTTCAAAAGCAATTACTCTTATTTTTGGACATAATTTATCTAAATTGGAATGTCCTACTTGAACATTATAAATAAGTTTGCTGTGATGCATTAGAGTATTGGCTTTGAAAGTTTGCTAGCTCTTTAATTCTTTAATTTTATTTTTTGCTTCATTTGTTTCTTACTTACTTCTTTTGGTGCTATTTGTATTTTTTATTGTTTAATTAGTCTTATATATGTTTATGATGCTTATTTTGATAATGTCAATTTTTTATTATTATTTATTTAAGTTGTGTAAATTAATATAAAAGTTTTAAACCCAAGAGTAATAATTATATATATATTTTAAATATAATATAATTAATAATCTTATATAAGGATAAAAATATTTAAAATATACATATAAATTGACATTTTTTATTTTAAATGAAATAACTATTCTTGACAAAATTATTTTTTTAAAAATATATATAACATATCTCAAATACATAAATTCATATGATATGTTGCATTAAAATATAATTTTTTAAAATGTTTTACAAAATTTCAAATATAGATAGTATTAAAAAAAAAAAGCTAATAAATTGGTAGACGGTACTTAGAAAGTTAAGTCAATTCATATAAGCCAAAAAAGCATATTATATAACTATTTAGTGAAAACAGTTAATAAATTGATATGAAATGGAAAAAGGAAAACAAAATAAAAATGCAAAATGGTAACAAAAACTTTTGATTGATTAGGTAAAAATTGTAAAAGTTAAGAAAAATATAATTTGAATCAAATAAAAAACCCAAAATTTTATAATTTAAGTAATGGGCAAAGTGACTAAAAAAAATTGAAACATACTATTTAATGAGATATGAATGGAAAGGGAAAAATATTTTGAATTAAATTAAAAATTAAAAATTGGTTTGGAAAGGAGTTAATATTTAAAAAAGGTAAGAGTTATATTTTCAATAAATCACCATGATTTTAGGATAAATCGATTTCAATTATACATTTAATATTTTTAAAAAATAAATAGTAAAAAAATGTAAAGTAAATAGATATTTTAAAAAAATTAATGCAATTAATTTATTTAAAAATGAATGTTTTGACACTAATTTGCATTTGATAGTAGATTTTTGAACCATTGTATGATTAAAATATAAAAATTAGAACTATGAAATTATCAAAATTAAAAAGAAATAATGATAAAGAGTTTTAATAATATATTTTGAGTTGTAAAATTATGCGTTATGATTTAAATTGAAAAGAAGTGTGAATACAGTGCGAATTCATATTCTTATATTTTATTTGCATCTCAAGTTATGTCTTCCAATCCTAGAAAGATGATTGTAATGATAATATGATATAATTACATAATATAAAAATCATTATTATTTAAAAAAAACTCAATTATAAATTAAAAAAATTAATTAAAAGTAACGATTATAGATTTAAAAATGCTATTAACAAATTCATAAAATGAGATAACATTATACTTAAAATATCATAATGAAAGTACTTTTTAATTGGTTACAACAATATTTGTATTTTATTTTTTGTAATAAATAATTAAACAAAAATATGTTTGTATTTTGATTTTGTAATAAAGAATAGAAGAAAAATATAACATATTTAAAATTTATTCACATCATTTCCAAACGTAATCATGTAAAAAATAAACTTAAAATCAACTAAAATGAAAAGAAATCTTATATGAAATTTAATAAACAAATGCAATAACATAAAAAATCAATTAATTATTTATCCAAATTATTAGGACAAACTGCTAAAACAAAAAATAATGTTGCAAATCAACTGAAGCTTAAAAAAAAAAAAAAAGAAACTACAATCTAACATCAATTAACTGGTTTGCATGCACTCTCTTAAATTGATTGCAGGTGATGACTGCATTGCTCTAAAAGCTGGCTCTCCTAGCATCAATGTTACTGAAGTTAAATGTGGACCAGGTCATGGGATCAGGTTTTTGAGTTTGGTTTTTGGTTTATGAATGAAGTTTCATATAGTTTATATACTTAGGATATGCAAATGATTAGGGGAAAATGAAGAAAAAATTAAAAATAAAAATTGTTGGTTGGATGATATGTCTGGTCTAACCACGTGCTTTTCTAACTGCTGCACATACTTGTAGTATTGGAAGTCTTGGAGAAGGAGCTGATGACCAAGTGGAGCAGGTGCATGTGACAAATTGTGCTTCCAATGCGACTCAGAATGGAGCAAAGAATCAAGACAACAACGGTAAACGTATTGGAATATATGTCAAAAGAAACAAAATTTTATGTAGAATTGATAAAGCTTATAAGAAAAATATTAGTATGGAAATTATTACACACAATCACTTTCCTTGAACCTTTATTTTACAGGGAGGATCAGGGTTTGCAAGGGAGATTTCTTTTGAACAGATTACACTAATAGCATCTGGAAACCCGATAGATATCGACCAACATTATTGCAATGGCAACGATCACCATTGTCCGGATGCGGTATGGTTCATAACATATTGTTTACAGCAATAGCTTCTGCTAAGTTTTTTTAAGTACAATACACACCCATCAGAACCAATCCTGTAGCAACAGTTGCTACTTGATTCAAATCAAAAGTGATGGATGCTTTTCTCATTTTTTTTCCAAAAAAATGACACAGGGAAAAGCAGTAGCTGTTAACAGTGTAACTGTAACATACAGAGGATTTTATGGAACTTGTGCAGATGATGAAGTGATTAATTTGGATTGCAGTAATCAAGGTCGTATCGGCATCACCATAGACAATGTGAACGTAACCTCTTCACTGCAAGGACAGCAGCTTCAAGCCATTTGCAACAATGCACATGCAAGAGCTACCTCAACTTTACCTGTCATATCTTGCCTGTTGCCTTGATATAACCCATTTATGCATAAGCAAGTTGGTTCTCTTGGCATTTTTTTTATAAAGAAAGATTCTGGATGTTGTTTTTCTTGTTTCATAGTAAAATTTATTGTTTGTTTCTTCATTGCTTTTCTTACATTTTCTACCCGGAAAAGAAAGATCAAATCAGGCAATCAGGAGATGGGGTCAATGATTGAAAGCAGCCTCTCTGTCAGTCTTGGGATGAAAAATTAACAGCCAAAGACCGAAGGTAAGCGTGAGATCATGAAAATACATACTTTAGTCTTTAGGCCTTGGTTCATCATAGTTCTTTCTATATTTCTATCCAAATAATTGGCCGAGAATTGCATAAAGTCAGAAAAGATTGAGAACTACCCTTTATGTCAGTTTGTTTGGTTTGAATTATATTCAAATTTACTGCAATGTTGATGTCTTTTCCTCATACAGAAAAGTGCCAAGCAGTTCTTTCCAAGAATTGATTAAAGTGAAATGGCTTAAATCCCTGATTCCCGTAAGTGAAACTGAAATGAAGAACATAAAAAAGATGAGAAACAGCACGATCAAAACTCAGGTATAGACAGTTAGGATAAAGTAAAACAAAGTATTAACTGCTTACAATACCTGGGGTGAGCTTTTCTTGAAGTCTCTTAAAACTCCTTTCAGCATTTATATTGTCTAAGCCCCCCCCCCTCCCCCCTTTCCCTACCTACTGCAACCGTGCAATTCCAGTCTGTGTTATTTACAAGGAAAACAAAGCGCTTGAAATGGAAAAGTATTTGGAATTCCCTCCATATGAGTTAATTACATTTTTGATACCTTAACTTTGGAAAATATACAAATTAGTACCTAATTAACTAAAATATATAATTTACACCTCAAACTTTCAACACACTCTATCATTTTAATCCAAATTTTAATATTATTAACTTATCTATATGGTATCTAACCAGTATAGTTTTATTATACAAATATGATACCCGACTGTTATTGAGAGTTAAAATTTTTTTTGTTTTGTCATCTTTATTTATTGAGCTTTTTTTTTTTATCGCAAAAGTTATCTAATTAAAAAATAGAAAAAAGTAAAAAAAAAAACAAATGAGGACGACATGTGAATATTTCAATTGGCCTCTTTTTTCTTACAACTTTTATCCAATCAAAAAAAATGAAAAATAGTTTTTCTAAAAAGACATAGACCAATCATAACTCAATCTCAATTTAAAAAAGAAATTATCCCTTATAGACTGAAATGAATCGAAATCTATGAAATACAAATTGATTTAGCATTTTTATCAATTGATATTTGTTGTTACAAAATTTATTTAATTAAAAATAAAAAATATGAAAGAAAAAAAAAGCCAAATGGGATGTCTTGTGGACATTTTCATTGGCCTCCTATTTTTTACAAAATTAAATTAATTTCAAAAGGCATAAAAACAAAAAAAAAAGGAAAAATAAAGAAAAAGTAAATAAAAAAAGATCAAAGAAAAGAAAAAGAGAAAAAAAATGAAGCAAATGACTTGATATGTGATATATCCTTGGCATCAAGTGGGTCACCAAAAATTATTTAAAAATTTTAAAATATTTACTAAATATATAAAAAAGAAGAATAATAAAAAAAAAAGTAAAAAAAAAAAAGCAAACACGTTGTATACTATTGGTATCAAGTAAGTCTCATACAAAAAGAAAATTAAAATCTTTAAAAAATACTTATAAAAACTTTTAAAAAGGAAAAAGAAAAAGAAAAACTATAAAAAGAAAAAGAGAAAAAAAAAGATTGTTATAAAGTGGGTCCCACCTTTAAATTTTTTACAAATTTATCAAAAATAAAAAAAAGTAAAAACAAAAATAAAAAAAGCAATAAAAAGTTTAAAAGTAAAACATTTAATAAAAATAAAAAAGCAAAAAAAAAAAATTTAGGAATGCCATGTGACATTTGGGTTATACTCCATATATGAACAAAATTTTTCTGATGGAAATATTTAAAAAATGATAAAAAAAAATTGGTAAAATGGTTCTAGCCTTAAAAAATTTTAAATCTTTAAAAAATTATTTGAAAAATTTTTTAAATTCAATAAAAAATTTTCTACCAAAAAATTAAAAAAAATCTCAAAGAGCAAAGAAAAAAAAAGGAAAAAAAATTAAGAGGAAGCACTATATGGCACATGCATGATAGGCACTATTTATCATACATGAGTATGATTTATATTTTAGATAGCAAAAAATAAAAAAATAAAAAAAAGTCAAATGACTTAACATGTAACATACTATTAATATTAAGTGAGTTTGAAAATTAAAATATAAAAATTTATTTTTTAAATTTATAAAAACGAAAAAAGCTCATGACATACCTTTAATATCAATTGAGTTTCACAAACAATAAAATATAAAAAAAATCTTTATTAAATATTAAAAAAAAGAAAAAAGTTAAAAAAGGTAAAAGAGGAAAAGCAAAAAAGATAATTTGGTGTAAGTGGATCTCACACATAAAAATAAAATCTTTAAAAAGTAAATATTTTATAATTTTAAATAATATTATTAAATATTTTTCTAAAAAAATTTAAAAGAATAAAAAAGTAAAAAAAATTTGGTATAAGTGGGCCCTTACATAAAAATTAAATATTTAAATATATATTTTATAATTTTAAAAAATATTCATTAAATATTTTAAAAGAAAAAGTAAAAAATAAAAAAAAACAAAATAAATAAAATAAATAACAATACACATGGCAACCAAGGATAATGTATCGTTGATAGTACATTAGAAAAATTTATATTTTAGATTAAATAGTTAATAAAATATATACTTTTATAAATATCATCGAGTGATTTGAGGCAAAGTATTTTAAATCAGCTTTTGACTCGTTCTTGCATTTTTATAAGAACTAGACCCAGCTTGATTCGATGTTGATTTTTACAAAAAAGAACATATTGAATAGAGATGGATCAAAATATATCATATATTAAATTTTTTATCAAACAAAGATGTTAAAGGTTAATTAAAATTTTCTTGTTTTGTCATTTCTATTCTCTATTTATTTTTCAAATTTTATATAATTAAAAAAAGACAAAAAGTAAAAAAAAAATCCCTAATAAAGATGATACATTGATACCTAAACTGATTTTTTAATATCATAAAATATATATAATTAAAAAATAAAAATCTAAAACAAAAAAAAATTACAAACAATAAAAAAATAAAAAACAAAAAAAAGAGTTCTTAGAGTATGCCATATGGACACTCTAATTGAATTTAAAATATTAATTTTTTAAATTAAAGTATTAAATAATAATTTTATTAATATAAATGTTAAATACATATTTGATCCCTTAACTTTATAATTTTTAACATATTTGTACTTAAAATATTTTTCTGTCACATTGTTACTTGAACTTTCATATTGTTATCAGATTGGTATCTCTAACTAATGTCGTTAATCAATTTTGTTGATATAGCATAAATATCCAATAAGATACTAACACATGTAAAAAATGTACAGTTAACGCCACATCATAAATGCCACTTATGCCTACATCATATTTAAAAGAAAAATTCAAAAAAATCTAAAAAAATTATAAAAAATAAAAAAATTATAAAAATTTTAAACAATTCTAAAAGAATTATAAATTTTTAAAAATTTAAAAAATTTTAAAATAAATTCTAAAATTAAAAATTTTTTACTCTAAAAATTTTAATAACTTATAAAAATTATAATAATTCTAAACTTTTTAAATTTTTTAAAAATTTTAAAAATATTTAAAAATTGTTGAAATTTATTAAAAAATTTAAATACTAAAAAAATTTTTCAAAAGGAAATTTAAAATATTTTTTGAATATGCCAAATTTTTTTAAAAAATTTCTCAAGAACTTTAAAAATTCTAAACAATTCTAAACAATTGTAAAAATTTCTAAAATTTTTTTAAAAATTATAAATTTTTTTATAAAAAAATTTAGAATTTATAAAAAAATTAAAAATATGAAATGTTTTTATAAATTGTAAAATTTATCGAAATTTAGAAAATTTTAAAAATTTTTAAAAAATCAAAAAAATTCAAAAAAATATTTATAAGAATTAAATTTATTTAAAGTTTACAAAAATACAAAATCTTATAAAACTGAAAGTATGAAAAAATCTAAAAACTTTTAAAGTTTTTTGAAAAATTAAATAATTTCAAAAATATGTAACATTCTTTAAAATTAAAAAATTTGAAAATTAAATAATTAAAAATAAAAAGCATTCTATTAAATGTTTTGGATATTTTTTAAAATTTGGAATTTTTTGAAAAATTTAAAGTTTCCTTAATTCTTTTTGAAATTTTAAAAATTTATGGAATGTTTAAAGTTTTTTAAAAATTAAAAGTTTTTAGAAATTTTTAAATTTTTTGAGAATTTTTTATTTTTCTAAATTGTAAATGTTTAAAAATTTTTAAAAGTTTTAGAATTTTAGAATTTTTTAGAATTTTATTAAATTTTTTGAAATTATTTCACTTTTTACAATTTTGAAAATTTGTTAGAATTTTTAAATTGTTTCATAAATTTTTTTATTTTTTTGAATTTTTTATATATTTTAAAATTTTAAAATTTTTTTTGAATTTTTAAAATTTGAGAAAAAATTAGTTTAGTATTTTTCAAAATTTTTAGAATTTCTTAAAATTTTTAGATTGTTTTTTAACTTTTGAAAATGTTTTGATATTTTTATAATTTTTATAATTTTTAAAATTTTTTTCGAATTTTTAAATTATTTTTAGACTTTCTAGAATTTTTTGTTGAATTTTTTTTAAAGTTGACGTGAGCATGACATGGCAGTAATGATGTGGCACTAATTAGAATTTTTGATAGGTATCAATATTTTATTAGATATTCTTACTACATTTGCAAAGTTGACTAACGATGTTAGTTAGAGGTACCAATATGATAACGATTTGAAAGTTTAGGTAAAAATATAACAGAAAAATTCTTTACGTACCAATGTGACTAAAATTATAAAGTTCAGAGGCCAAATATGTATTTAGCT